TGAGTTTTCTAATAATTTCAATATCATGTATAACTTTATTCCCCAGAGTAGTGTTTTAAGTTCAGAATTGAGAGGTCATATTGGTGTACCATTATTTGATTGTGTTTGTAGTGTTGGAGGAATATAAGTGTCTAGAATTTACAGTGTGTCTCATTCATCCCAGTCACAGACGCTATCCTTCCACGGGTCACGGACAATTCATTTGTTTTAGTAGATTTAAGTGTTCTTGTGCTGGTTAGGGATTTTTCTCAAAGAGGCGTTTCCTGCCATTACCCTCTAATAATATTTAATAAACCCCAAGTCAAGTTGAAAATAAGGTCAGTAGAATTCCGACCGGTTACATATATATATTCATTCCTATTCCACAAAGTCTCCCCCCAAAAAAATGGCTTTATGAATAAAAAAGAAAAAATAATATATGTATACACTAGGAGTCCATATCGTTGTCTCAGAGTAACTTACCACCGCCCGCGACACACCATCATAAAACAATCAGCGGACTCCACAAGAGCGACCCAATGCATGACATCGTCATATTCTTAACCCGACGAGTTCTGATTCCTTTAACTTTAATATTCAAAAACTCAAAAAAAAAAAAAAAAAAAAAAGATTCTAATGTTGTCTGGGTGAGAATGTGAAAGAATAATTTAAATGGATTTCATACTGCAGAGGAAATCCGAGATTTTAGGAGGAACAGTGTAAAACGACCGGTGAATCCGACTATTCTTTTTCATCTTGGTGGTGTTCGTGTAGCGTCTTGCCAGTCTCAGAGGTTCTGTTGTTTTATTAGAAATGTTTGCGTGGTGGAGTGTAATGGAGGAATGTGTTTTATTAGTCTTTCTCTCCTTCGTTGTTGTTATGAAGAGATGCTATATTATTATTATTATTATTGTTTATTTGTTGTTGTTATTTGTTGTTGTTATTAATAATAGTAGTAGCAGTAGATAGTAATAACAGTAGTAGTAATATTACTGAATGACCTTAGAGATGTCTTTGACCAACTAACTCAACGGGTAGATACTATTGTGTATTAAGAACATTTAATGGGGGACGAAAATTGTAGCGTAGGGGGCTGGAGGCCGTTATATATACAAAAGTAGTAATGGTAGTAGTAGTAGTAGTAGTAGTATCATTAATATTACTGATATTACTTCATCATATTACAATAAGTTTATCGTTATTATGCAAATACGATACATTAGAAAAAAACCTTATGAAGTGTTCTGTTGTGTCTACGTGTATGTCTGTCTGTGTGAGCATATATCGAATCCATGACAATAGCTGGTTACTTAAAACAAAATATAACTGAATAATTCACGAAAATAATCCAGATTCGATACGATGTTGGATGAGACTGATTCCTCTTGAAATTTTCGTCAATCATTCAAAAATACTGCATGCTTCTATAAAAATAAATAAAAAATAAATTAACAAAAGCCTTCTGAAATTACGCTTATTTTTCTTGTTTCTTTTGTTTTTCGTGTGAAGAATAATACATTACGGTCCTCTCCTCCTTGACACCTCAGAACTTACGGCCGTAAATGATTCCATGTCTCCTGGCTGACACACTGTACACTTCTAAGGCAAACATGTTTTACTGTATTTCTCCCTTCAGTTAAATATCTTATGTCTGTCAGTTAGCCAGAAGAAGACAAACTATTTTTTTTAAATTTATACATTTTGTCTTCTCTGCTACAGCCCCTAAGAAGACAAGTAAGGTTTAGTTGTTTGAGGCTATACATTTATGTTTTTCTGTTGCAGCTAAGATAAGTAAGTTTTAGCTTTCATTGGTATTGTTTTGTCTTCCCCGTTGCAATAAGAATATCATTTTAATTTAAGCTTTTTCAGGCAATACGTTTCTCTTGCCGGTTACAGCTTAGATAACAGCTTTGATTTATTAAGCTTAGAAGGTAATGAGTTTTATGTTTCTTTAGCAACACTTGAATTAATTTGCATATCTAAAGTTGCTTCTTCATTAACATTGATTATATTATTTGTCTCATGTGTGTTGACAACGATGATCATGTTGTTCTCATGTTGACAACGATGATCATGTTGTTCTCATATGTGTTGACAACGATGATCATGTTGTTCTCATGTGTTGACAGCGATGATCATGTTGTTCTCATATGTGTTGACAACGATGATCATGTTGTTCTCATATCATGTTGACAACGATGATCATGTTGTTGTCATATGTGTTGACAACGATGATCATGTTGTTCTCATATGTGATATACATCGATGATCCTGTTGTTCTCATATGTGTTGACAACGATGATCATGTTGTTCTCATATGTGTTGACAACGATGATCATGTTGTTCTCATATGTGTTGACAACGATAATCTGTTGATTCTCATATGTGTTGACGCGATGATCATGTTGCCATATGTGTTGACAACGATGATCAAGTTGTTCTCATATAATGTTGACAACGATGATCATGTTGTTTACTCATAATGTGTTGACTGATGATCATGTTGTTCTCCTTATGTGTTGACAACGTGTCAAGTTTTTCCTATGTGTTGACCTTTGATGATCATATTTATACATATGTGTTGACAACGTGATCATGTTGTTCTCATATGTGTTGACAACGTGATCGTATTTGTTCTCCTTATGTATTGACAACGATGATCATGTTGTTCTCATATGTGGTGACAACGGTAATCATGTTGTTCTCATAATAATATTGACAACGATGATCAAGTTGTTCTCATATGTGTTGACAGCGATGATCATGTTGTTCTCATATGTTGACCGCGATGATCCATGTTGTTCTCATATGTGGTGACAACGATGATCATGTTGTTCTCATATGTGTTGACAACGATGATCATGTTGCCATATGTGTTGACAGCGATGATCATGTTGTTCTCATATGTGTTGACAATGATGATCATGTTGTTGCCATATGTGTTATTAACGATGATCATGTTGTTCTCATATGTGTTGACAGCAAGTCATGTTGTTCTCCTTATGTGTTGACAGCGATGATCAAGTTGTTCTCATATGTGTTGACAGCGATGATCATGTTGTTCTCCTTATGTTGACACTTGTTGATCATGTTGTTCTCATATGTGTTGTAACGATGATCATGTTGTTCTCATATGTGATGACAACGATAGGCATGTTGTTCTCCATATGTGTTGACAACGATGATCATGTTGTTCTCCTTATGTGCTGACAACGATGATCATGTTGTTCTCATATGTGTTGACAACGATGATCATGTTGCCATATGTGTTGACAACGATGATCATGTTGTTCTCATATGTTGACAGCGATGATCATGTTGTTCTCATATGTGTTGACAACGATGATCATGTTGTTCCTCATATGTGTTGACAACAATGATCATGTTGTTCTCATATGTTGACAACGATGATCATGTTGTTCTCCATATGTGGTGACAACGTGATCATGTTGTTCTCATATGTGTTGACAACGATGATCATATTTGTTCTCATATGTGTTGACAACGATGATCATGTTGTTCTCATGTGTTGACAGCGATGATCATGTTGTTCTCAACAACAATGTTGACAACGATGATCATGTTGTTCTCATATGTGTTGACAACGATGATCATGTTCTCGCATGTGTTGACAACGATGATCATGTTGTTCTCATATGTGTTGACGCGATAATCATGTTGTTCTCATATGTGTTGACAACGATGATCATGTTTGCCATATGTTGACAACGATGATCATGTTGTTCTCATATGTGTTGACAGCGATGATCATGTTGTTCTCCTTATGTGTTGACAACGATGATAAGTTGTTCTCATAATAATGTTGACAGCGATGATCATGTTGTTCTCCTTGTAGTGTTGACAACGATGATCAGTTGTTTTTTCATATGTGTTGACAACGATGATCATGTTGCCATATGTGTTGACAACGATGATCATGTTGTTCTCATATGTATTGACAACGTGATGATCATGTTGCGCATATGTGGTGACAACTGATGATCATGTTGTTCTCATAATATTGACAACGATGATCAAGTTGTTCTCATATGTGTTGACAGCGATGATCATGTTGTTCTCATATGTGTTGATAGCGATGATCCAAGTTGTTTTCATATGTGTTAACCAGGATGATCATGATACCTTATATCAATGTTGACAGCGATGATCATGTTGTTCTCATATGTGTTGACAGCGATGATCAAGTTGTTTCTCATAGCATGTTGACAACATTGATCAAGTTGTTCTCATATGTGTTGACAACGATGATCATGTTGCCATATGTGTTGACAACGATGATCATGTTGTTCTCATATGTGTTGACAACGATGATCATGTTGTTCTCTTATGTGTTATTGAAACGATGATCATGTTGCCATATGTGACAACATTGATCCATGTTCTCATATGTTGATGATCATGTTTATGTTGACAACGATGATCATGTTGCCATATATTATTTGACAACATTGATCATGTTGTTCTCATAATAATATTGACAACGATGATCATGTTGTTCTCATATGTTGACAACGATGATCAAAGTTGTTCTCATATGTGTTGACAACTTTGATGATCATGTTGTTCTCATATGTGTTGACAACGATGATCAAGTTGTTTTTCATATGTGTTGACAAGCGATGATCATGTTGCCATATGTGTTGACAGCGATGATAGTCATGTTTAATTCTCATATGTGTTGACAAGCGATGATCCAAGTTGTTCTCATATGTGTTGACAACGATGATCATGTTGTTCTCATGTAACTGTTGTAACTTACTGATCAGTTGTTTCATATGTGTTGACAACGATGATCATGTTGCCATATGTGTTGACAACGATGATCATATTGTTGTTCTCATATGTGTTGACAACGATGATCAAGTTGTTTGTCATATATGTTGACAACGATGATCAAGTTGTTTTTCATATGTGTTGACAACGATGATCATGTTGCCATATGTGTTGACAAACGATGATCATGTTCTCATATGTGTTATTAACGATGATCTATGTTGTTCTCATATAATGTTGACAACGATGATCATGTTGCCATATGTGTTGGCAACGATGATCATGTTGTTCTCATATGTGTTGACAACGATGATCATGTTGTTCTCAAATGTGTTGACAACGATGATCATGTTGTTCTCATATGTGTTGAAAACGATGATCATGTTGTTCTCATATTTGTTGACAACGATGATCATGTTGTTCTCATATGTGTTGACAACGATGATCATGTTGTTCTCAAATGTGTTGACTACGATGATCATGTTGTTCTCATATGTGTTGACAACGATGATCATGTTGTTCTCATATGTGTTGACAACGATGATCAAGTTGTCATATGTGTTGACAACAATGATCATGTTCTCATATGTGTTGACAACAATGATCATGTTCTCATATGTGTTGACAACAATGATCATGTTGTTCTCATATGTGTTGACAACGATGATCATGTTGTCATATGTGTTGACAACAATGATCATGTTCTCATATGTGTTGACAACGATGATCATGTTCTCATATGTGTTGACAACAATGATCATGTTGTTCTCATATGTGTTGACAACGATGATCATGTTCTCATATGTGTTGAGAACGAAAACAAAGACTCTAGTATTTTCAGTCTCCGTCGACATTACGTCATGCTGTAAGACTCACAACTCAAGCGGCCAAATAATAACATTGGTGAGTTTCAGTGTTTGTTTTGCGACTGTCGTGGGGAAAGAAACAGGTGTCACATCAATGGTTCGTGGACTCGGGTTTGACATCGTCCCGTCTGTGTGTAGTCACGAATAATACACACACACACACACACACACACACACACACACACAACACAGAACACACACACACACACAACACAGAACACACACACACACACACACACACACACACACAAACGTGAAGAGGTCAGTAAAAAACAGCTGGGCCAACAGGAGCGTGACCCTCCTCCTCCTGTAACCTAAGAAAAGGAAAAGAGAGGGTCGTTTTAACCGTTAACCGCGGGTCGTTGCAAGAGAGGGTCGTTATGAGAGACACTGACAGACGATGACACACGATGACAGACGATGACAATGACAAAGACAATGATGACAGACAACGTTGACACCACGACGACGAAGAAGACAGACAACGATGACAGACGATGACGACAAACAATAATGATGACGACAACGATGAAGAAAAACAACATCAACAACAACAACAACAACAACAAAAACAACAACAACAACAACGCCACACCGACAACACAACACACTCTCAAAGTCATAAACAATTCAAGGGTACTAGAGGTAAGGGACTTCTGCCTTGGCCTGATGGATCCGAGGCATAACGTGTGTGGCACTTAAAGTCACTGAACGAAGAGGGACGCAGGAGGAGAAAACGAGAAAGGTAGAGAGAAGGGAGAGAATGAGAGAAAGGGGGGGGGATTAAGAAGGGTGAGAAAGTGGGATAAAATGGGAAGAAAAGGGAGAAGAGGCAGAAAAGGGGGGAGAAGGAGAGAAAAGGGAGAATTAAGGATGGGTGAGAAAGGGTGAGAAAATTGGGAGAAAAAAGAAAAGAGGCAGAGAAGGGGAGGGAGAATAAGAAGAGAGAGGGAAAAGAGGGGTAGGGAGATTGAAAGAGAGAGAAGGAAAGAAAGAAGGATGAGTGAAGGAGAGAAATGAGTGAATAAGAAAGGGAAAAGTAAGAGAAAGGGTGAGGAAATGGGGTGAAAAAGTGAAGAGGCAGAGAAGAGAAGGAAGCAAAGGGTAAGAGTAAGAGAGAGACACAGAGAGAGAGGAAGAGAGAGAGGGGGGATAGAGAAGGGGGAAGGGAGAAAAACGGAGAGAGGAGGGGACAAAAGGCGAGAGAATTGGAGAAAGAGGGAAAGAACGGAGGGGGAATAAGGAGAAGAGAGCTAGAGAGGAGAAGAAACGGGATAGAGAAAGGAGAAAGAGGGAGGGAAAGGTATGAGAAGGAGTAAGGAGAGAGAAAAAGAAAGCAAGGGGAAAATAGAGATGAAGAAACAGAAGAAAAACAAGAAGAGGAAGACAGGTAGACAAAGGGAAGAAGAGAAAGAGAGTGAGAGATAGAAATTGAGTGAAAAACAGTAATTCAGAGAGACAGAGAGACAAAGTGTATCTAAAATCTACTGTCCACAAGGAGGCAGTAATGGCCGGATATCCACTCGACTGCCTTCACTTTTCCCCCCTAACACACACAAGCTGCCCCAGTCTCTTTGATGTTGAACTAGTTTGAGTTTTCCTGTACCCTGTGATGGACAGTGTGTGTGTGTGTGTGTGTGTGTGTGTGTGTGTCAATATTAAGGTAAGCGGTGGGCGGTAAGACGGATTATAAGTGTATACATCAACCTGAGTTACTAAGCTGATAAGCCACACACAGACACATACACACATACACACACACCATTAGAATTAACCACTCACTCACTCTCTCTCTCTCTCTCAATCTCTCTCTCCATCCTCTTCATCTTGAAACATCAATATTTGCATCTCATTAAAGTCTTGCAGGTGTGTGACAGGTAAGATAGCAATATGCACTTAGATCACAGCCGAGTGTTAAGGGGGGGAGTGTGTGATCGTTCTCTGTTATATCATGGTACTAGTGTTGTACTGTAGATAACGATTGTTTCTACGTCTGGAAATATGTGATTTACTCTCTCTCTCTCTCTCTCTCTCTCTCTCTCTCTCTCTCTCTCTCTCCTTCTCTGTACTCCCTGTCTCTATTCCCTATCTTGCTCTTACAAGTACTATTCTAGTATTTACCTTAAGTTTACAGACGACAGAGAACTCTATAGATTCCTCCACTTAATCATCACACTAAATCACCACCAAGACAGTTTTAGGATACATAATATATATCAATATATCCAAACAGTTATACTTTATAGAGATAAGAGCAAAGGATTAATCATAAGGTGAAGTATGCTAAGGTGAGGTGGATTATCTTCACGTGATGCTGTTAGTTTACAAGGTAAGAATGATGGTACTAACTTTTCCTAGTAATACTTTTGTTGGTATATTTTTGACATGCACTTTGATGTCCTTATTCTCCTGCTACACCAGATGTGTGTTTTTTTTTTTAATGAATACAGTATATCTGTCTCTTGATCACAAATTAAAAAAAAAAACAGATGAAAACTAAACTCCAATATAACCAAGACCTCCTGTGGGCAACACCACTAGAGGTGAGGTAGCCATTTAGGCGTTATATAAAAATATTCCCCAGACAAGAAAACAAATTTGTAAAAGTTGAGAAGTTGCGTCTGAGAGAGAGAGTGAGAGAGAATGAGAAAGTGAGAGACTTTTAATGTCTTTAAGGGTTCTCCTTGCTTGGAAACATGTGTTTTGTGTGTGTGTGTGTGAGAGAGAGAGAGAGAGAGAGAGAGAGAGAGAGAGAGAGAGAGATAAGCTGCTTTAAGACTGAGGAAAAGTTATCTAACAGAGCTTATTTTTAGATAATTTAAGTGAGGAGAAGGTATTTATCAAGACCCGGGATGGAGGATCAAGAGGTAAAGAGGATTTGGATTTTAATATATTTTCTCAGATTTTTTTGTATTAAGGAGTGATGTTTTTGTGGTTCCGGCATAACATGTAATGAAAAACAACATTATTATATATATATACATATAAACCAATCATGTATTTGACCCAGAAATAGTTGCCAGATATCGCCTAGTGTTTAGAGAATTTTATCAGTAACTGTATGTCTGTGTATGTCTGTTTTAATATGTGTAAATTTGTGTATATACTATAAGCCTATATTAATAATTAAGTCAATATTGTATTATATGAATTTTTGTATCGATTGTATATAAGTGTATATTGTGTGTATATTTGGGTATATTGTGTTTTTAGTGTTTTTTTTCTGTTTGCTTGTATACATACAATCATACGTGTGTAGTTTAGATTTTATTGTATATATCTTAAAGGAACTTAGTTTAATATGCTAGTTGTGAATTACGTTTTGTTTTAATGTTGATGGGTAAATGTAGAAATTGTCAAGCACGTATTATTTTTATTATTATTATTATTATTATTATTGTTGGTGTTGTTGTTGTTGTAATAAACGTGTGAGTATGAGTAGAGAGAGAGAGAGAGAGAGAGAGAGAGAGAGAGAATGAGTTCAGAGAGAATTTGAATGATGCAGATAGACAAAGAACGAAAGAGAGAAAAGGCGAGAGTAGAGAGATAGAGAAACTGAAAAATAACTGAGACATCGAGAGAAGGAGAGACTGACATATATCAAGAGAAACTGGTAAAAAGAGACGAGAGAGAGAAAAAAAGAGAGATAGAGAACAAGAATGAAATACGTACAGAAAGCAAAAGAAAATTTTGAAAATGAGAGACAGACAGAGATTACACAAGAAACCAGAAGAGAGAGAGAGAGAGAGAGAGAGAGAGAGAGAGAGAGAGAGAGAGAGAGAGGAGAAATATAAAGTGTGCGTACAGGTATTTTTTCACTCATTTGACCTTTATAGTCTTTGTTTACTCTCACTAGGTCTTTGTTTACTCTCACTAAGTCTTTGTTTACTCTCACTAAGTCTTTGTTTACTCTCACTAAGTCTTTGTTTACTCTCACTAAGTCTTTGTTTACTCTTACTAGGTATTGTTTATTCTCACTATGTCTTTGTTTACACTCACATGTCTTTGTTTACACTCACAAATTCTGTTTACTCCAACTAGGTCTTTGTTTACTCTCACTAGGTCTTTGTTTACTCTCACTAGGTCTTTGTTTACTCTCACTAAGTCTTTGTTTACTCTCACTAAGTCTTTGTTTACTCTAAGTCTTTGTTTACTCTCACTAAGTCTTTGTTTACTCTCACTAAGTCTTTGTTTACTCTCACTAAGTCTTTGTTTACTCTCACTAAATCTTTGTTTACTCTCACTAAGTCTTTGTTTACTCTCACTAAGTCTTTGTTTACTCTCACTAAATCTTTGTTTACTCTCACTAAGTCTTTGTTTACTCTCACTAAGTCTTTGTTTACTCTCACTAAGTCTTTGTTTACTCTCACTAAGTCTTTGTTTACTCTCACTAAGTCTGTGCTTTACTCCAACTAGGTCTTGTTTAGTCTCACTATGTCCTTGTTTACACTCACTCGGTCTTGTTTAGTCTCACTATGTCCTTGTTTACACTCACTCGGTCTTGTTTAGTCTCACTATGTCCTTGTTTACACTCACTAGGTCTTTGTTTACTAGGTCTTTGTTTACTCTCACTAGTTCTTGCCACTTCCCTTAGCTCTTTTGTTTACTCTCACTAGTTCTTTGTTTACTTTCATCAGGTCTTTCTTTGTCCACTTTCACCGGCCTCTCCCCCGTCCGCTTTCACCAATAACCTCGCAATCCACCTCAACACCTGCAGCTTTGAAGGGAAAGTCAGTCTAACTTTCACTTTATTTACAAACATTTCACCTTGAAGGTTGACTTTCTAAAATTAACTTTATCTCCTTTGAATTTATTTTGTCTTTATTTTCGATCGTTTTGTCTTTTAGTTTTGCACGATTGTGTTTTATAAGAAAGTTAGTAAGAAAGCGAGAGGGGGTGTGAGAGAGAGAGAGAGAGAGAGAGAGAGGATATTCAGATAGAGTTCGAAAGATACAGGAGAAAGAAAGATAGTGAAAGATAAAGCCAGA